TTTTCCATTCTGGGCATGGGACAAAGAAATGAACATCAGGAATTTCTGTTCTGGTTCCTGTTTTCATCTGAATTCTCCGACATTTCTAGCTAGGATGCCATTGTTGCAGTACAATTTCTGCCCTTTCTGACTTTGTGTGCCAGAAGCTGCCCTCCAGAAACATTGTCAGTATTGCTGCCAAATTGGCTACAGAGTGAGGTAGCCAATGCAAAGGAATAATTGACTACAATTTTCCACCTTTACTGATGGAGTTCTTATAGGGATGTTATGTCTGGATGCGATGCTATTATTCACTTTGGCAATAAATGAATCTGCCCTTTAGACATCTTTATAGAAATGTATCTTCATCATGCATAATATATATTATATCTCAAGGTTGCTCAATTAAATCCACAGTTCCATTGAATATTATTCAAGAGGGAACGGTAACAGTACAATCTTTGCTGACACTGAGAATATACAATAAATATTTTTTGCAGAACTTGTCAATTGCAGTCAGCTTTGTATGTAACACCAAACCTTTATGAGGTGTTTCATTATTAAGGATTAACTACAACATTACCCTTTAATAGCATCATAAATCTTTAATTACAGTTCAATGCAATGCGGACTAAAATTGCTTTTGGAGTGAAACAATTCTATTCCTGGTTATGAATAAGCAATTTCTTTTATAGGTAAAGAAATCATAACTTTTCAAAATGATGACAGAGCCCAGTCTTTCAGTATATAAACATGCGATCAGCTGTAATGAGAGCTACACGTGAAAAATACAAGGCATGGGGCTTTGTTGACTACTACTGGTAGCACACTACTGTACAAATTCTGCATAAAGTTGGTTCAGGCAACAGCTAATATATGGCACAATGTACAGTCCTGTGGTACGGAATCACAATCCCTCCTTTGTTCAGATTGATGAGATCTAGGAAACTGTAGGTATAACTGGGGTAATGCAATGGCACGTTAAATTTGGATTAATCTCTGTTTGTTTATAGACTTTTACCCTGCTCTATAGCTGAAAACATTCCCCACAATCAGTAAGAAGATGGCTCCTGCCCTTAGGTGTGAAATCTAAAAGACATGACACAAAAGGAAAAGGGATTGGAAGGGAAGAGGTGCAAAAGCAAGCCCAGACTCCAATTCCCATCAGCCCCAGTCAGCATGGTGAATGGTCAGGGAAGAAGAAAGGCCAGCAATATTTGGAGGGTCACAGCTTCCCTTATCCCTGCTTTGGAAACATATCCTCCTGCTGTGAAATTTAGCACAAGACAATGTGCTTTCCCACCCAATCTTTCTACCTATAATTATTTAAAAATTGGCAAATTTGGCACACACGCCTCACTTGAAAAGGCTATGCTCCCATGGCCTGCAGAAAAAACTACCCTCAATCTGCTATGTATGCAAGTGGGGCGTGCTTTGATATATTGCCTGGATAAGGCCTAATGGAGAGGGCAGAAACAAGTCTATTTGCTTCAATGGTTTCTGTTGACTCCCCCAATAAAAAAAAAAATGTGTGTGTCAAGCATAGACTGGCATGCACATCAATGAGCTGGAATTTGAGCTGAGCTTGAAGGCATTTCGAGGGACTATGGAAGGATAAAAGGTCTTCTTGGAGCTCTTGATAAAAATGGATGAGAAAAATCTGTCAAGTGCATGTCATTCTTCACAAAAGCCACTCACTTTGAGGCAGCAATTGCTTGCACTGAAAGAAAGGAGAGCAGCCTTGCAGTCAGAAGCAAAGCTGATGTGTATAATACGATTTTAAACCTATGTGTAAACTATGGTCTAGTAATCTGAAAAAGAATTGTGATTAAAAGTAAGGAAAGAATATAACGCAAAAGACTACACCCCCACACCCCCTCTCTTTCTATCTATGACTAAGAATCACTGAGTTACAGCACTGTCTAGGAATAAATCTTCAACTCCCTCTTTTAAGCAATGCTAGCAGTGAAAAATGAGACGAATAATTCCAACTTTATCTGCACAGGCTTTTGCCTGGCCTCGGATGCAACCCAACCAGGCTTCAGTACCTATGCAGCAAATGTGATGAGCCCTACATTGATCCCTTCTGATCCAATTGCAAAATTGCAGGATCAGTACAGGTGGCCCAATCCCACATGAGGTGTATTGTACAAAGCTGTGTGCGGCATGTATCTTCCCTACCCCACTTTTGGAGTAGATTATTGCTTCCTTTCCACATTTCTAGTTAATTCTGTAGCAAGATATCAGCGAAGTGGGAAATGGCTATGTGAGCAGGCCTACAAAGGTCAATCCTGGTTTTAAATTCCTCAGTTTTCGTCTGCTTTGGGGGATTCACATTTTGCTGAAATAGTGCCAGACGTATCAGTATATTTAATGGCATTTTACTACACACTATTACAGTATTTGTTGGAAATGACAAGTTTTCACAGCCTCTAGTCATGAGAGAAGCAGGTGCAAAAGCTGAATGCAGGTGCCAAACTATGGCAGGTTGGTTCTGTGTGCTGCTCAGTATGTTCAAGATTTGTTTGTAACAAGTGTTGGGGAAACAGTGCTTTCCGATCACTCCTTCTGCTTCCAACGTTCAGGAGCGAGTGTGGATTCTTATGAAAACAAAATGGCGCCACCCACGTACAATAAGGGCTGTATCTGCCTGTTTAGGGAAACCTCAAGAAACAAAGTACAAAAGCCTCCCCCCCATGTCCCCCAACAGCCCTAAGAGTATTGAGAATACTCGCTGGGCACAGAATACTCAGCATTTATTAGGAATTGGTGGAAATAAAAATCAGGGAATGGAATGGAATATGCCTCACTGGTTGGAATACTGAGCTGGGCCACTCCACATTGCAACATTTTGCTGGAGGTCTAACGTACATTCTGGAAGCTATACATAATAGTAGGTGTCAATTATGAGTTCATCACAACATGTAGGTAGGGATGGGCGAATCTGTCATTTTAGTTTCTCTGTTTCATTTTTTTGCTCTTAAGTTCAGTTCTTCACATTTCAAAATCAGTTTGCAGGTTTTTTATTTTTATTTTTTTTAAACAGACGCCATGAAAGTCAGTATTTGAGTGCAATCCCCCCCCCCCATATATCAATTTCTGTATGGAATATTGCATCATCTAAACATTTTTGCAAAGCAATTTCCCATCATGTGATGCACTTTTGCATGTAATTTTCATGCACATTTCCTCCAAGTACAGTCGTACCTCGGTTCTCGAACAGAATCCGTTCCGGAAGTCCGTTTGACTTCTGTAAACGTTCGAAAACCAAAGCACAGCTTCTGATTGGCTGCAGGAGCTTCCTGCACTCAATCTGAAGCCGCAGAATCCCTGTCGGATGTTCAGGTTCCAAGGAACGTTCACAAACCGGAACACTCACTTCCGGGTTTGCAGCGTATGGGAGCCAAAATGTCTGAGTACCAAGGCGTTTGGGATCCAAGGTATGACTGTATATGTATTCCTGTAAGGTAAAAGGTAAAGAACATCTGGACGGTTAAGTCCAGTCAAAGGCAACTATAGGGTGGGGTGCTCATTTTGCTTCTGGCCGAGGGAGCCGGCTTTTGTCCACAGACAGCTTTCTGGGTCATGTGGCCAGCATGACTAAACTGCTTTTGGTGCAATGGAACACCATGACAGAAGCCAGAACGCACAGAAATGCCGTTTACCTTCCCACCACAGTGGTACCTATTTATCTACTTGCACTGGTGTGCTTTCTAACAGCTAGGTTGGCAGAAGCTGGGACAGAGGAACAGGAGCTCACCCCATCGTGCAGATTCAAACTGCTGAACTTCCAATCAGCAAGCCCAAGAGGCTCAGTCGGTTAGAGCACAGCGCCACCCGTGTCCCTTTGTATTTCTGTACACTTTACTTGGTAAGAGAACTACCCTGCAAAATCCAGAAAAGCATGAATTAAAAGGATGCATAGTTTGGGAATTATGAATCAGGTAGGTTTGCCTTTAAATGTGAAGTAAATTGAAGTTCTCTTCTTTGTCCCCCCCCCCCAGCCCAAGCTGGAAGTCAACATGTGGAGGGTAGCCCTCAACCACTAGGCACCCAGATGATTGTGTAACTATGCCCTAGCACTTTACAGTGGTACCTTGGGTTACATACGCTTCAGGTTACATACGCTTCAGGTTACAGACTCCACTAACCCAGAAATAGTGCTTTAGGTTAAGAACTTTGCTTCAGGATAAGAACAGAAATCGGGCTCCGGCGGTGCGGCAGCAGCAGGAGGCCCCATTAGCTAAAATGGTGCTTCAGGTTAAGAACAGTTTCAGGTTAAGAACGGACCTCCGGAACGAATTGAGTACTTAACCCGAGGTACACTGTATTTAGTGACCCAAGGAATAGTGCTATAGAAGTGACATGGGAGGGACGTAACTTTTCAATAGGAACATTTTTATGCCGTTTTTATATCTAAAAGACAAATATAAATCAGCCAGAGCAACATTCTGCGACAAAGTCATTTATTTTTCTTCAATAGCGGTTGAATTGTTTGCTCCTTAGGAGTCTGTTTGGTTTTATGCTCCCCATCCTACCATCAGATTGGGGATTGATTGTGGATGAATCATGCAGGTAATCAGTCATTTCATAGTGAGATGGCTCTGTAACATATGGCACGCCACATCTGCATTTATCTGATGTCGGGGCAGTGGATTGTGTTATCCAGTTGTCTCATTATTCTTACAATTCCTTCTTGAGATGATTGTTTATTATTCTTTTCCTTGGGTATGATAAGTGATGTAGCTTTCTGTCCTAAATGCTTCCTTGAAATTGTTTTATAATGTCAAAGACAATAGAGAATGTATATCTCATTCTCACTTTTTCATCTAGCAATAATTTGCCACGGGTTTTCCTTGAACTGCAGCGAGCACAGGGTAGACAGCAGCTTGCGCTTACTCAGTGTATTGGTGCACTCTAATGTGACCTAAAATATGCATTAACAAAGATCTGTTCAGGAGTTATACTCACAAGTAAGGGAGAATCCAGGGTTTCAGACAAGGGTCTCTACCATCCCTAGCTGGAGATACCAGGGATTGAACCTGGGACCTTATGCATGCAAAGTTGTTATGCATTGTTCTACCACTGAACAATGACCCTTCTTGATGGCAGTCATTGTATCACCATTAATTTCCACCAAAACAGTTTGCTAGGAAACACATATGGAAGGCTGACAACCAAGAAATGGTTGCAGTTGTTTAGCGCTCATTACTTTAATGCCTCCATGAGGAAGTGTTAAACTAATATCCCAACACTTTTGCTATGGATTCTGTTGGTGTGGTGTAGTGATTGTAGATCTCTATAGTGGTTCCTGTATGAGTGGAGTATTAATCACTGATGCCTTGGTCCAATTCCAAGCTAGGTAATTAAGTTTTGCCTCTAGTCTCAATTACATTTTGCAGCCCTTATTGTTAGTCTCCTGCCTCACATTATCTTTCCGTTGAAATGAGGCACTCAAGTGACAATTTGGCCTTTGAAATTATACATCTAAATTCTAGCACAGTGGCTCTAGTCCAAACATAGCTGAAGAGAAATTATTCCTGCTCACATGCAGCATAACCCAATATCCAGGTAAGCTGAAGAACTTGGAATTAAGCTAATTCCCATGCAAGTTACTGGAACCAATTTGGATTAAATCCAAGTTCTTTGAAATAACTGGGTTGTGGATCAGGCTGCTCATTGGAAACTTTTGTCCTCCTGTGTCCTACATTCAAAGGCTCTACATAAAAGGAGGTTAATTATTATTGTTCCCGTTCTTCCCCTGTGTGGATGTAGCTTCATGATCTTCTCTGGTTTATATTTCCACTCAATTAAACACTCTCCTAAAATAGGCTGTGACTGTTCTACAATTCACAGACTGTGTCCCTGGAAAAGTGGTGGGCTGCTTGACATGACATGGCTACGATACAGAGGCTATTTGAACTCTCTGTCAGCTGCACTTTCCCCACATGGTGAAGACAGGGAGCCAAGCTACTCCTAAAGGGGCCATGGGCAAAACTGCAGCTACACTAGAACAGCAAGCTAGCTGCAAGCCTATTGCCCCTTTAAGAGAAGCTTAGATCGGGACTCTCTGTTTTTGTGATGGCCGCGGCATTTTCGGAACTGTTGGAGAGTGTGATATTTTGATTGGAATGTGTGTATGGTGTCCAGCACACACCTCAGTATACGCAGACTTTAAATTCATGACCTGCATCAGGTGAAAATGGCGACTGTATATTTAGTGACTAGGACCTACATGCATTGGGGTATATTAGGGTTGCCATATTTCAAAGAGTGAAAATCCGGACAGAAAAGTTGTTGAGCTTTTTCTTTTCTTTTCTTCCTTTTCTTTCTATTTCTAAATCAGCAAAAATGGCACTGCTGCCATGGGCTGCCATACGTCCAGATTCCTCCCAACATTTTTACCGATTTTTGCCCAGACACTGCTAGAGACAGCAGTATTCTGGATATGTCCAGGATATTCCGGATGCGTGGCAACCCTAGGTGTATGTATGGAAGCGTCTGTGCACAATGCATGAAAAGTATTGGTCTGTTTCCTCCTCATATATTACATTTCAGCACTGCTTGATCACCTGCATAGGGAATTAGTTAGGTCCTAATTGGTGATAGCGAAATGAAGTCTGGGCACATATGTAGAATATTCAGAAGTTTGCCTGTAAGTATTAGGAATTGGAGGCTTTCATAAACGCAGGGCCAGAAAAACACACCATTGAACATCACAGTAGAGAGGTGAACTAGTGATGGGGCTGCTGTTTTGGTGACAGATCCATGATTCTTGTAGTGATTGGTTCTGTCCTCAGTGCCTCAGTGCTCTTCAAGCTTCAGCCATGGTCACCAAGCTTCATCTTCAACCAGGCCTTTGGCTGACTGACATCCTATACCCTTTAAAATGTGTTTGTAGGAAGGGAGAGGTTATTGGTTTGGTTTGTTCATGTGTGTGTGTGTGTGTGTGTGTGTGTGTGTGTGTAAGTAATATTTTGTGTTTTTATCTTGCATTTTAATGCTATGAACCACCCTGAGATCTACTGATGAAGGTCAGTATACAAATTTTATAAATGATGATGATGATGCAGCCCAATAATAATTCAGCTTTCACTTTCTTATGCAGTCATCTAAAAGCATATTCTACACTCTTTCCCCTCCCCACTATTTGCTTCAAAAGGTCTTTTTCTGACCTTTAATTTATTTCACACATTCTGCTTGATGTAATTCCATCTTGCTGAATAGTCTTTTCCTATGATTTGTACCAACTGTTCATTTATTCCTTGCTTTTCTTGAGACTTTCCCCCCTTGAATCCATTAAAACCCTTTGCCTCCAGCAGCCTAGCCTAATGTGCCAATTACTTTCCAGTGTTACCTTTTGGCTAGAAGACATCCCAGCTCTCTTAAGCAATTAACTTGACTGTTATCAAGTGCAAGGACAATACTAGTTCGGAATAATCTACTTTTGCATCCTATATCTTTTAGATAATTCACCTTACAAGTCACCACTACTACTTCTATTAGAGCATGGCAAATGAGTGGACTAAGTAATATACTGGAGAAGTTATGCTATAGTGTTCCAAATTCTTAAACACGGAAGAAAAATGATATTGATTGGTTAAAAAGAAAGCCATTAATAGCCACCAGAACACCTCAAGGAAAATGTTGCACAAATGAACTAATTGTTCAGATAAGTTTGAACATCCTATATGGTAAGTGAAGATTAGCAGTTATAAAAGAAAGCTCTGTAACTTCCGAAAAATGCCAGTCATCAGAAATCTCCTAATCAGAACAATGTATCATTTATGATTACTTCATGCATATAGATTTCAAAGAATCATAGGATTGTAGAGTTGGAAGGGATCCCAAGCGTCATCTAGTCCAACCCACTTCAATGCAAGAATCTTAACTAAATCATGTATGACAGATGACCCCCAACCTCTACCACATCTCATGGGAGTTGGTTCCACAGTTGAGCAGCTCTTACTGTGAAAAAATTCTTCCTGATGTTTAGTCAGAATCCCCTTTCTTGTAACTTGAATCATTGGTTCAGGTACTACCCTTGGGAGCAGGAGAAAACAAGCTTGCTCCATCCTCCATGAGGAGTGGTCTATAAATCTGTTTTTAAAATTATTTTCAAAGTTGAAAAAGATAAAATTCCGCACTCTTCTCTAGTCTGCTTTCCCGTCTATTTATTCTCCAGTAGCTACCCATGCCTGTAACTGCTTTCTAACATTGCCTGGGTTTAAACATGTTTTTTGGAAATGTGGTCTGCAGAGAAAAATGGCTGCATTTTCCAGGTGGTCGTGGATCAATCAAATGCACAGCTTTGGATAGTTAACAGGAAAAAAAGATTAGGCAAGAGGGCAGGCCTGTCTTTGAATGCTTAGCAAAACCAATGGAAATAAATACTCTATTTTTTGATTTAGAATTCCTGTAATGTGATTTTTTTTCTTGTGGCTGAAAGTAATATAGATTTTTGATAACTTTATATTTTATTTATGATTTAATCAACAACAAGTGAATTAGGACATGAGATATTATGACAACAATACCATACATTTATAGTCCCTTGTGACCAAAATGATCAAGCTCAGGTTGTTTATCTCTCTCGATACTGAGCCGAGAACATGATTAGCATTGAACAGTATTTTTCGTCTTCTCATTGATTTTATCTCGTGTGAGCATGCATGGAAGTATATTATATTCTTCCCTCTTCGGTAACATTGTGTCAGATACCTGATTCCCATACAGTAGGGCTTTTCACTGTATATTAGGGATATTGTCAAGCATTTAAGGTGGTAGCTTTTTCATATCAGTAAAATCTTTGAAGACAACCTCACTGTGTGATTCATTTATGTTAAATTAGCAATTCGTCCTCCATGTTACAATCTTTGTAGTGAAATTTCTAATATATTCTGAATGCAAATTCAACTCCAGGGAAATAAAGTGTATAGGGAAACCAATGTATTCATATTCCATTTCCATTAATTCCTTCATTTGTTAAACGCAGATTTGTTTTGCTATACTTTGCTGGATACAACAGATACAAATGGTCCTTTTTGAATTTCATTATCTAGCTCACAATTATCTTTTCTTTAGACAGAATGATGTTTTAATTGAACATTTCACGTGCTTGGAGAAGTGAATAAAAAACTTTGGTTGTAAGCATCTCTTTAGATTTCTAACTTTAATGTACAAAAGTTAGCAATAGATATGATGGCAAGATACAAAGTAAGAATGTACTGTATTCTTGGCTCTTTCAATAGTTCTTTAGAATAGATCATGGTAACTCTCGTCACTTGACAGGTAGGGTTGAGAAAAGCTACGCCCACTGAGATTCCCTCTTCCACACAGCAGTAAAGGTACATGAACCTTGCCTCCTTTTAATTCACTTAGAATAGGTCTATCAATGATTCTGAAGCTTTTGGCACAAATAACTTTGGAAGAAGAAATAGATGAGAAAGAGAAGCACCAGGGAATCTTGAGGAATTTGATCTTATACATATTGCTTGGAAGTAAAACGTTTCTGTAGGTGATTTTATTTCTTCATATACTTTTGGGTGGAGATGAGCTGGGTAAATGAGCATTAGGAGATGAGCATATCCTGGCCAATTTCTAATGACAGATTCCATAAATTTCATTCCAAGCCCTCCTAAAGCATTAGGTACCAATCTGGTGCCATCCGAATGTTGTTACACCTCAGCCAGCACAGTCAGTCATTCAGGATTATGAGAGCTGTAGTCCAGCAATATCTGAGAGTACCCTGCATTACATGCTCATTCAAGCTGCTCCTAAGAAGTGATACTCTTCTTCAACTGAAGTAGCAGTTGATCTTTAAGTGGCCAAACAAGTGTCAGGAGTGCATGCAGGAGCCAGGCCCTGTGACCGGTAAGGCCTCGCAGGACTGGGGCCTTCCTCAGTTTGGCCTAGAAGGGCAAGGCGTGGCCGCACAGGTGAGGCTTGACAGAAGACTCATAGCACCTGGTGGCAAGGGCCAGGAGGGGTATCTAAGACAAGCATTTCCCTCTGGCTCTGCCACAGCAACATGCTACCCGCCTAGCCGTGCTTTGGCTTCCTGACTCCTGACACTTGGAGCTTGGCTTCCTGACTCC